CTACAGAAATCTAAGACAGAAGGATCAAAAGTTCAAGGCCATTCTGGGTATTATGGTTTAGATATGAGGTATCCCTCAAAAGCTCATGTGTGAGACAATACAAGAAGGCATAGAGGAGAGATGACTGCGTTATGAGAGCCTTAACCCCATCAGTGAATTAATCCCCTGATTCTAACTGAATGGTAACTGAAGATGGGTAGGGTGTGGCTGGAGAAGGTAGGCATTGTAGGCATGCCTTTGGGTGAGTGGAGTCTCTTTCTGCTACCTGATCATCATATGAGCTGCTTCCCTCCACCACACTCTTCCATCATGATGTTCAGCCTTACCTTAAGCTCTGAGGAATGAAGTCAGCTGGCTATGGACAGAGACCTCTGAAACCATGAGCCACCAAATAAACTTTTCCTCCTTAAAATTGTTGTTGTCAGGTCTTTTGGTCGCAGCAACAAAAAAGCTACTAAAATACATGGCATCTTAGCAAGAACCTATCTCAAAATTTACAAAGGACTGGGAATATATCTCAGTGGTAGAGCACTTGCCTAGCATATGCAAGATTCTGGGTTCAATCCTAGTACTGCAAAGAAAAAAAGAAGAGGAGCCTCATGGGAGGTAATTAGGTCATTGGAGGTCCTGCCTTCAGAAGGAATCAGACAAGTTCTCATAGAATTTCAGTTCCTACACGAGTAAGTTATCATAAAAGAGTGAGCCTGACTGTCCCCCAAAAGTTCTCTGGCTTCCTTTCTTGCCATGTGATCATTCTCTTTTGCACCTTGATGCCATCTACCATGATGTAATGCAGCTATGGAGGCCCTTGTGAGAGCTGGTACCATGCTGTTGGGATTTTCAGCCTCCAAAACTGAGCCAGATACTTTTCTTTATAAGTTACCTCTTTATAAGTTATTTTGACATAGCAATGGAAAATTGACTAATACATATTGTTTTAGGCTTTACAAGCAACCAGGTGGGATGGCTCAGAAAAGTCTGAGAGGCAGAGTGACTTACCCTGGTGAGTAGTGAACCAGGGTAAAGGTTTGGGGGTTATGCCTCTAAAAGCAGAGCTTTTCCCTTAACTTCATGATCATCATGGAAGTTCAAGGTTGCTGAGGCCCAGGGTCTGCAGAGGTTAGCAGGGCATGCTTTCTCAAGTGCTTTCTTTCCCTTCCCTCCATGTCCTGAGAACATGTCCTCATGATGCCAGCCACATTCCCATGGAAATCACCAGTGGCAGCCTGTTCCAAAAACTAGGCAATTATTAGCTGCAGCCTAGTTAATCTCTTCCTTTTGTGAAACCTGTACTCAGTTTTTTGAGGGGTCACAGTTTAACAGACAAGTCTTTAACAATCCTCTGTTCAGGCTTTCATTTGTTTAGCCACTCCCTCTGTTTTCACTGTCTCCCTCTCATCCACCTACTCCCACATTTCCCATTGTTGTGCAGTTGAGTTTGGCCAATGCCAAATCATGTTTTATTCTCAGTCTGAGAAAGAAATTGTACAAGGTGTCAACTTGGCCAACAAAGGACCTGTCCTGCCAGTGTGGTTTGAGGTTTTAAGTTTATACATATACTACTTTCTCCCAGCACTGTGTTTTTATCCTGAGGAATCCCAGAGAGAAGTATTCTTGAGTGAGCTAGGAGGCTGCTTTCCCACAAGAGCAGTAATACACTAGTATTGATAAGAAAGCAATCGAAAGGTGCTTGAAATTTTGCAGAAAACTCAATGAAGACCAGTGCTGGACTGCAAACTGACAGCTCAGCTCTTTTTAGCATCCAAGGCAACAGCCTGCTGTTTTCCCAGGTGGCTCTGAATGAGACAGGAATATGCAGTGGCCCATTTGTCACTGCCCCAGGTGCAACATATGCATGCCAATTGGTGCATGCAGCCTGCAGGCCCACTCCTGCCTGCCCCTTGCCTGCATCTCAGTCTCTGGGCTTCCCTTTCACTGAGATCACAGCACAAAGTGTTCCCTTCCCTCTGACTCCACCTGAGTAGGTGACTAAATCTGTTCTCCTGGGATTAGAATCAACTCGTCCATTCTCACTGTGACCAAGAGTGTCATGTTCTATGTAATCCCTCCCATGTGTTTTAAATTCAAAGCATGGTCTTTTAGGACTGTTGGGACTCATTGCTGGCACGCCAGCCTTTGTATCTCAAGGTTACTCTGGTGTGTGGTATACAGCAGACATGCTGGCAAGTTCTTCAGGGAGTGCTGAACTGGAATATCACTTCGGTTAGACCCTAAGTTGAGTGAAGACTTAGAGGATCTTGGGTGCAGCATTCTGCAGACACAGCACAGAAGAAGAGGTGGGGTTTTCTTGGAAGAGAAGGCAAGATAGTTATGCCCTGTGTCCCTTTATGCTGAACTCAGTGCCTGGTACCCACCACAAATGGAATAAACTGATCAGTAGCTAATAATATCCCTTTTGCCTCTCTGAGAAGTGAAATGAAATATAGCATACATAAGTGACATTACAGATATAAAATTAGCTTAAGAGAAACTCTGCCTCTGGAATATGTAAAGGGCATTTTATTGTGAATTTTGGCCACACATTTAAAACTACTTTCTTTGATGAGGACTTAATCTAGGTTACAGGTGAATGAATGTATATGATTAGGGTAGCCTGACTGCTGACAGCCCTGGGTCCCACTGACACACTGGGCACCCCCTCTACCCACTTCTAGTTCCACTGGGAATAGGGAGGGAGCACTTGGCCCTCTGAGCCGGAGATATGCAAAACCTGAATATAGACTCTCAGAATGCGCCCAGACATAGTGATTCCATTCGGCAAGAAGGTCACTGTGTCTGCTTTTCCTGCCAACATGCTCTGGCTCTTAATCTATGGCTGCCTTGTGCAGCAAGAGAGCTGTGCCAGGAAGCTACACTTTGTGACTGTGAGGCATTTTGAGAATTTAAAATCATGTCAATGGGGTTTTGTCAGGGTAGGCCGGAGGAGGAGAATTATACACGGTTTTAGAAGAGTGCCATCTTTTAACATCCTTTTGTTTGTTGGCCTGAGAGCTACCATAGTTCATTAAAAAAAAAAAAAAGACTCTCTGACCCCAACTACAAATAAAGTTCACCCTTCCGATTCTGCCAAAAATATAAAAAGACATCCACCCAAAAAAGGTACTGTTTATCCAAATGATGGGATTATGGGTGAATTTCATTGTTTTCTTTGTGCTTTTCTGTATTTTCTATATTGCATACTTCTTGAATTTGCAATGTAATATAAAGCAGCAAGTCTTATTTAAAAAGCAAAACCCTACTCTATCCCAGCTAACCGATTGTATTTCTCTGGGTGTTCAGTATTGGGTTTGTAAAAATGTCATGGGCAGGGTGATCCTGCCTGTGCCCCTGCAACAGGCCTCAACCAAGACCAGTAGCTACAGTTCTCTCCCCACTTTTTTGCCAGTTCCAAAGGCTGCTGGGCTGGGGCAAACACTCACCCTGAAAGGACTCTGGCAGCAGGGAGGACCAGAAAAGGAAGCTGCTAGAGTGATGCTGGCCAGATACCTCAGCATCAGCAGGAGGTTTATGCTCATATCCAGTCATCTCCAGAAGTCCAGCCTGCCTGACATGTGCTTGTTGGGAGGGAAACTGTCCACTCAAGTTCATCGCCCTGAGAACATCTAGTTGATGCACATTGTTCTGGAAGTTGGAGAGATCCTGTTTTCTGGACCTGTAGGAATCAAATAAAATGTAATAAGTAGAGACAGATATCTGGGAGGAAACTACCCATGGAGGAATTCCAAATATCCCCTTGGGGCTAGGGAGTGGGGGAAGACAAGATTTTTAGTTAGTTAGATTCAGGGCTTTGACCACATAGGCTAGTTATTGACAAGCACTCAGTCCATCAACCAGTCCTGCCACTGTTACTGAGCCCAGGCCATATGGAGCATGAGGTGAGCAGGCTGGCAGAAAGGGCATGCATAGCCCTGACATTGTGTCATCTCACCTTTGGACACAATTCCTCCAGCAAGTTTCTTCGGAAGCCCCCATTTCTTATACATCACATGCTGACCTATTATTGAATGCAGTGGAATTCCTCACCCCTGGGGGTCTTAACACTTTGAACTTGAGGTCATGACCCATGCCCTGCACCACACAGTTCAGGAACAGAATTCCTTATAGTTTATATGAGAGAGTCTACTGGGGAGGTAAAGCCCTTATTAATAATAGATTATTTATAATTGGTGATAAGAGCTCATTTATCACCTTCTTATGTTCTTCCATGTACTTTCTTATGATGCATGTACCCCTCAATTTTAGGAAGTACACAAACAGAAAAATCAATGCTAATGCATTTATTTTAACATCCATTTGAAAAAAGATAAAATAAGCAAATCATATCATGAGTAACTTTAAGAGATTAAATTTTTAAATGAAGTTAATTTTCAAGTTTTAATTTTTAAGTAGATATTGAATTATGGGACATGGATTTGACAAAAGTCAGAAAGGTGATACAATAATTGAATGATTTATGTTTGACAAGCAGTGTTCTAGATGTGCTACTTAGCCAAATTTGCTTTTTCCTTTTTTTCTTTCTCTATTTTTAACCCTAGTATCTTAGAATGAAGCTGCATGGAGATAAATTGCTTACAAGAAAAAATAGTTGCACATAGTTTTAATAATGATTCTAGCAACTTTTAGAGAGTGTCAACAAAGACTTTATTGCTTCTCTGGTAGAGCGAGGGAATTGCTATCTTCTCTTCAAATCTGGGCTTCAGAGCCATCATCTGTCACTTCATGGAAAACAGGGTTGCTGAATGTTTGTATACACCACCTTGCTTTTTGTCTTGTTTATAACCATATCCACTTGTGGGCCGTGTGTGTGTACATGTATGCACATGCATGCACACTTGTATTAAAGGGTAATAAGATAAGTGCCACATCTGGGATGCCCTGTTATTTATATTAAATAATGACATGATGATGTTGGTGACCCATAATTCTCCATTTTCTATTAACCACCCTGCCCAAGTAAACTGTTTTCTGATCTCTCTTAGATGGAAATCCTCTATGAATGTGGAAGCCATTAGCAGAGTAATTGCTGTCTGTTGCCATGACAACCAGCCGCTGCAGTCACCTGCCTGAAGTCCTGCCAGACTGCACCAGCTCGGCTGCACCCGTGGTGAAGACTGTGGAGGATTGTGGCAGCCTAGTGAATGGGCAGCCACAGTATGTCATGCAAGTTTCAGCCAAGGACGGGCAGCTGCTGTCAACAGTAGTGCGGACTCTTGCCACCCAGAGGTAGTACCACAATTAAAATAAATGAATCTGTAATTGATCTGGAGAACTGTTTGTCAGATGGAAAATGCTAAAGGGAATGTAAATAGTGCTCAGGTCTTTGTGTCAGGTGAGAGGAGGTACTAGTTAAAAAAAAAAAAAGACTACACAAGTTCTGTCATCGCTGTTTCTATAGCAATCAGATATAAAGCAGAGATTCACGTTGTCTAGTGTTTTGCTTAAAGTCACACTTGCAGAGAGCCAGGCAGGAAAGGATCCCACAAGATGCAGGGTTGCTTGTTTACATTTATTATTTTGACATTGCTATGGTAATTATGCTCTTACTGTCTTCAGAAGCCCTTTGTTAGAATAGAATGAACAAGGCATCTGATTTCAGGTGACTAAGCCAGTCATCGGATTTGTGGGCACAACTTTTGAAATGACATTCCTAGGGTGCATGATGCAGATCAGCACTGCCGGGTGGACACACCATGCAGGTTTACTCTCTGGATGTGGGGACCTCTTCTTTTGTCCCTTCCTTTGCCCCTGTGGTCCCCAACCCTTCACATACAATCTGATGTGGAGTGCTATTGTTAAAACCTCCACGGCTATTTTCCCTATGATGAACCAAAGCAAGGGTGAATGAAAGTTCTGAACAACTCAGAGACTGCTTATACAGGCCGGCACTTTGACCCTGGGGGCTATTCTTGTGCTGCAATTGACCAAAGGCAGATTGGAAGCCGTGGGTTCCCAGGCTGATGGGTGCACCTTGACTTCTCCAAATTTCTTTCAGAATGGTTAAATTCATAGGCTTTTGACCTATGAATGTCAAGTGTATGTCACCACCAGACTTGCCCACTAATGCCAGTGCTCACACTTCTAACCCTGAAACCTAGGACCAGTTATTCACACTTAACCATTTGCCTCAGACAGAGAGATAAGACTGCCCCTCTGGTGCAGGCACAGATCCACAGGACCATATATGTACCTGCAGTAGGACTACTGGTAGCACCACAGCCCTCACACATGGAATCACACCCATGCATGCTGTAAATGTCCGAAAACCTTCTATTTAAAATCTATGCAGTTGTCACAAAGCAAAGAAATAGAAACATATTGAATAGACATTTTTTCCACTACTTGGAAAATTTCCAACAATTGATTAAGACTCAGAACAGGATGGAGTGAAGTGAGACTGGATCACTGGGTGTGCACCAGTCACCCTGGCAGCCATCAATCACCTTGGTTGATCAGGAGGAGCAGGCTACAGGTGAAATGACTGAGACCTGTGAGCCTATGAGTGTGTTTCTGTCTGTCAGGCATCCCTGCTCTCTCTTTATATGGCAACGCAAACAAGAGGGCTGCAGAGCTTTGCATGTACATGGCACAAATTGAATGAAGGAGAACAGGAGGAAAAAGTCAACTCTGACACCTTTCTTCTCCCCCCAGCACAAGTGGGTCTTCCATGCAAGTTGGAGGGAGGTCTTTTTCTTCACTTATTCTCAGAATCATTCCCAGAAGACCTTTGGGAAACAGCATTGTTTCCATGGCTGTTTTCCATTGGATCAAAAATTATATTGAAGAGAATGATGTGGCATAGGCCTTGGTCCTGTCATCTTTGGAGTATGTGGGAGAGACAGGGAATTGAGCAAGGAGGCTGGCTCTAGGGTTGTCACATATATGATAATATTTTAAAGTCTAAAGCCCAACAAAGCATTGCACAAGCAACATAGGAAGATATGGATGTGGGCTCACTGGTAGAGCACTTGCTTAGCATTTGTGAGGCAGAACTTCAGAGAGAGAGAGAGAGAGAAGAAAACATGGATCAGAGACTTCTCAGAGGACAAAATACCCACTGAGAAGTGAAGCTATCTGACTTTGATCCTTTCACTGGCGCTGACTTCATGGTGCAGCCATGTTATTTCATTTGGGCCTGAGTTTTTCCATGAGTGACACTAGCTAGCATCAACTAGGCCTTTACTATATGCTGGTCCCTATTTTAAGTTTCTAATCTGCACTATCTTTTCTTATCCTCAAAATCACCACACAGGGAAGGCGTCATTCTTAGTGCCCATTTTAGAGATAAGGAAACGGAAGTACAGGAAGATGAAGTTTCCTGCCCAAAGTGAGCTGGCCATAAGCCTCTGAACTGGGGTCTTAGCCCCGGCAGTTGGGTTGCAGAGCCTGCACTGGGGACAACTAACTGTACTATACTGCCTTCACACACCATGCAGGAATGGTTTTTCCAAAAGTAAAGGCAGCACTCTATGCACAGGCCTCCTTGGTAGGACATACTCATTACTCTATTTCAGTTCAGTGTGTTTGGCATCCCAGAGATCATTTTCCAAAAGCTCAAAGGGCCACCCACCACTCTACTTTGTCCACGTTTCTCTGTGGCGGCTTCAGGGTTTGTTGCCAGCTCACTTTCCTCCTCTCATTCTCCCACATCATTAAAAAGAGAAACAAAAGGAACCTCTGGGTATATAAAAGTGTCCTGGCCGGTTCAAAAGATGTAATTTGTCTAGAAACTACAATTGATATCATTTCAAAACCATTTCTGTTCTTTATGGTGAGGAATGATTTTTATTTTTTGATTGGTAGTTTGCCTGAACTTCATCTATGTTCAAGACAAAAATAACATGTTGTTCATTTTCACTCATTTTTGGCCCTAGGCCACACCTGGCTTCTTTGATATTGGCCTTTATATTTATATATTTTTATATTTATATACTGGCTAATTTTATATTGGTAAAAGTAGATGGCCTGAGTACTCTGGAGTACCTAAGACCACTGGCCCCATTGCCAAGGTCAAGTGTAAAAATCTAAAGGGTCTTAAAGCAAGTATCTGTTTTGAGCAGTTGCCACTGGGAAGGGCCCGAACAACACAGAGCTAGAGGCCATCCACATGGCAGTGGGTCACAGCCCAGTGACCAGCAGGTGCCCCTCCTTCTCTTGCAGCCCCTTCAATGACCGGCCAATGTGCAGGATCTGCCATGAGGGCAGCAGCCAAGAAGACTTGCTCTCTCCATGTGAATGTACGGGGACCTTGGGGACAATTCATCGGAGCTGCCTGGAGCACTGGCTGTCGTCCTCAAACACCAGCTACTGTGAACTCTGCCACTTCAGGTTTGCAGTCGAGCGCAAACCCAGGCCGTTAGTGGAGGTCAGTAAGTGGGGCACGTCCTGAAAACTTAGCTCTAATGAGCAAATGATGTCTGCTTTTATGCCTGGATCACAAACCCTGTACAGCTTCACTGAAGCACAGTAATAGCTCTTGTGTGAGTGTATGTGTGTGTGTGTGTGTGTGAGAGAGAGAGAGAGAGAGAGAGAGTGTGTGTGTGTGTGTGTGTGTGTGTGTGTGAGAGAGAGAGAGAGAGAGAGAGAGAGAAGCAGACAGGGAGGGACAACTTGTCAGCTCATTCTACTGGGAGCCAGCAGTAGAAGGGTGACCTCCACAAAAGTGGACCCAAAAATAGAGGAAATTAGTGTAAGGAGAAAGGGAACGTTCAGTGACATGGTCTCCGTTTTTCAATACCTATGAAGTGGAACAAACAAATTGAACACCTCTCTGCACACCCTCTGACCAATGTGGAGCAATAGATAAATGGGCATTCAGGTTGCATATCCCAACAGGTCTTCAGGAGAAAATATAGCTGCATTTACAATGGAGTTAGACCCACACATCCTGGGTTCTTTGGCCTTGGGTAAGTTACCATATCCCTTGTATTTGCCATAAGAATGAAAGGAGCTAATATGTATAAAACACTTAATAACTCAGGGCACATATTCAAGTGTTTGAATAAAAATATCCTTCCTGGGATATCATGCATAAGCTTTTTTCAGCTAATAACCTAGTATTGGAATTGCTTTTCTTAAAAGTGATGCTATCAACCCAGCAGCCATTAAAATGACAAGACATTCTTTTCTGTGTTTTTGGAGGCACAGGACTATTCTTGAAGGTCTGATCTGAATTTAATCAGAGAAGTAGAAAAAAATATATACTATTTCTGCCCTCCCTCCTACCCCCAAATTCAGGTACTAAATTAAAGGCTGGATATTAGCAATATTAAATATTTTAGTGCATTGTGAGGCAGAGCTAGCTGAAAGGGGTTAAGACATTGTGTCTGTGATCCAGACGAGCTCATAATATTATTTCAGCAGCTAACCCAGTGGACCCCTGAAATTAGAACTAGAACTAGAGATCAAGAAGCCATTCTTAGAGACTGCTAAATAAGTGTATTGGCACCAAGGCACCTGAAAAGCTCTAGAGAGCTCTGTGTATACATCTCTTGGTTTTGACCTTGAAATTTTAATCAGGATTTGCAACTGGGGCTTGTTTTAGCTATGAGTTACTTGCCAAACAGCACAAAATTTATTTGACTTGCCCCAGCAAATGCTGGATCAAATGACCTCTAAATTTAGCCATTTTGCCACTTGACATCCACTTTCAGAAATTCATATTTGTAAATTTTCCATTAGGAGTTTGACCCCATGCCAGATTCACTGGGAGTTAACATTTCAGAACCCCTTCTGCAGAGGGGAAATGTAATTGAATAAAAATAAACAAATAGGGTGATAATTTCTTAAGCCCAATGGCAAAAGTAAAAAGAAGTCTATTTCTCCTTTCCAGAAGCTTCTTGGAATTCGATATTGCAGCCTCTCTAGGGCAGCTGGCTTCCCAGAGTGAGGAAATCCTTTTAAATGGATTGCATCCAGAGGTCTTCTTTACTGGTCCCTCTCCAGTGAAGACTTTTATTTTCACTCGATAAAAATTCCAGTGTATGCCTGTAATCCCAGCAGCTCGAGAGGCTGAGGCAGGAGGATCACGAATTCAAAACCAGCCTCAGCAACTTAGCGAGGCCCTAAACAACTCAGCGAGACCCTGTCTCTAAATAAAAAACAAAAAAAGGTGGGATGTGGTTCAGAGGTTAAATGCCCCTGTGTTCAATCCCCGATACAAAAAAAAAAAAAAAAATTTCCAGTGTATGTACCCATAAATATGTAACAAATGTGTCGGGTATGCATGTATGCATATGCCTCAGTCTTTCTAATAACTTGGTGTCAAATCACCCAGTCTCAGAGAGGATAACACCCACACAGAAAGGTTTCTTCAAAGTTACCAATTTCTGGTCCCAGACTGACTCCAGAATGGCAGGCAACTGTCATCAAACAAGGAAATGAGTCAAATGACCTTGAGAAGGTGTGAGGTGCTCTATAAGATTTAGGGCCTCGCCTACAAAAACTTCACCCAAACGGTCACTGTGGTGAAATTTTCATTGCACAAATGGAATGTGACAATTTTCAGAGTTAATGATGATTGAACAAGTTGAAAGTGAAAGGCAAACTTCTCAGGCTGGGGGAGGCTGGCTGTTTGATCATCCCATGGTGAAATGAACTTGCTGTTTGACCACAAGCAATAAAAAGTTGTCTTTGGTTTCTGGGCTGTAGGACAAATGAGAACCAGGTGTGGGCAGATTTTTAAACGACTGACATGACTAATTGACTTTTCCCTTCTTACCAAAGGGCAGGCTTATTTGTAGTGAGCATTGCTTCTCAATATTTTTACCCTGAGATAAACATGCATCTTTTTTTTAAAAGTATATCAGTCAAACCTGCCTATTTGGGTTAAGGATTAGGAGTATCGCTACTTTATTTCTCATTTTTACTCTTTTAATTGCTTTAATCATTACTTTGTTTACCAGCTGTATCTGCCTTCTCATTAAAGCAAGAAAATTCCATAACATTTAATTTCAAAATCGATGTGACAATAACAGCTCTTGTTGCTAGAGGAAGCAGTTTTAAAAGTCATTTATAAATTTTATTTGTCAGCATCTAGATGCTAACATTGGTTGGAATTACTTTAACACCTCCAACTCGCACTTTTCAGCAAACCCTTTCAGCCCTCTGTTCACACAGCCCTTGGATCCCCTTTACTTACTTTCCTAAGGCACTCCTTGTCTGTACTCTGCAGCCAGTTGTTGGATTTTAACTGATGAGGAACACGGGGCTGTTGCATATACACAAGCTGCCAAGGTTAGTCTTTTCCCCCCAACACGGTTGAGTTTCTATTCATATGGCCAAATCAATGGGCTGGTTTTATAAGAATCTCCATACTGGATATCCCCTCCCCACTTTGCCACTGACCATCTGTGTGACCATCTGTGTGTCTCAGTTAGTTTCTCTGAGCTTCACTTTGGAAGAGGGCAAGCAAGAAGCTCTCCATGACTTCTTCTGGGTCCTATAAGGCTAGAAGTTCTTGTTTAAAAAAAAAAAAAAAAAAAACTACATTTAGCCAGCACAGTGGCATATGCCTATAATCCCAGTGATTTCAGAGGCTGAGGCAGGAGGATGGTAAGTTTGAGGCCAGTTTCAGCAACTTTTTGAGACCTGTCTCAAAATAAAAACATGAATAGGGTTGGGGATGTAGCTCAGTGGTAAAGCACCCCTGGGTTCAATCCCAAGTATGCCCCTCAAAAAGAAATCTACACTTTAAATAGGTACCTTGTATGGTATGTAATTTATATCTCAATAAGTTGATTTTATGTCTGTCTGCTTACCTCTCTACCTACTTACCTACCTTGCCTACTAACGCATATGGCCAGGATGTTTTTAGTCTCTTTTGGTGGTTGCATACAAATTTTATACCCTAAATAGTTTCTTGCTGCAACATAAGCCGGTAAAACAAGAGCTGGTTTCAACCCAAGAGAGCTACGCAGCAGTCATCTAGTTTAGTCAGATGTGGATGAATTTCTGTCCTAGTCCAACTAATGCAAATCTCATAAGGTCTGTGTCCAATCATGCAAAGCCTGAAAGCATTCAAAACGTACACAGTGAAAAGGAAGAGCAGTTAAAACAGACATGCATTTCTTACCTCCACAGCTAGCTTCTCTCGTGAAGGCTATGTGGTTTTTGTTGATGATGGAAAATTGCACCCTGTGGCAATTTGTAAGATGAATTATCCCCAAGAATAATGACCCACTAGAACATAGTAAATAGATATCCACTAACCATAAAAGGATTCACTGAATGACCGGCCTGGGTGGTTTTATGGTCTCCTTCCTGCTCATTTTTAGTTTTCTCATTTCTCTCTGTAAGGTGAACTCTGATACCATTCTTTTATAACAAATGGTAAAATATGGCAAACCAATAAAAATACCAAGATTCATCCCCCAAAATGTGTGTCCCAACTACAGCCTATTGCCATGATTGCATTTCTGATTGACCAGTTTGCAAAGAACCCCATCTTGCTATGTGCAAATAGCATGCTGGTAACATTTCTTTCTAGTGATGGGATAGTGCCACTAGGCTTCCTTGAGACATGAGTCGGTAGCTTACTAGCCTGGCCCAGAAAACCCATGAAGTTATAGATCAGCTCAACAATGTTGTGATTAAAATGAAACAACCAGGAAACAGTGAAAATCTGGAAAGCAGGCTTTCTAGGCTCTGATCTTCCTCTGATGAGGGAGACATGGTGATTTTTCACAGAGGGGGTGATTAGATTTCCGTATTCCTATTTCCTTTACACAGAACCAGCTGATTGATAAGAATTATATGAACAATTTAAAAGCTGTTCTCTGTGAGTCAGAGGTTTAGCTAAATTGAAACCGAGTGTTTTCACACGTATCAGTTACCCAGAATAATAGGATGTAAAGCCAGGGAGATGAGGATTAAGGATTTTCCCTAACTTTTTTTATTTATGAATTTTTTGAAGTCACTAGAAGAAAATAGTTGTGAAGTGTGCCCTGGATTCAGTATAATCTCCAGCTACACAACAGAGAGAAAGTGCCCATGAAGCAGAGAGAACTGCACACAAAGAAACCACTTGACACTTGCTATTTAATAGATTCAAGACTTCACTTAACTCCTAATATAGCTATATAGATAAAGATGTAGAGATAGAGATATATAGATAGGTATTGGATGTAGGTCAGGAATTCTTATTATAGTGTGTTTGGTTTTGATTTTTAATATTCATCCAAGTAAAAACGTGAACTTTTTGTTTTAGAGTATTCACTTTCATCAACAAACTCTCACAGCACTGGGGTGATTAGGGAATTATACCATAAAGGATATCAACTGATTCAAGGAGATGCACAGGCGTGAGGCCCACTATTGCATTCCTCATAGGAAGGCAAATAAGCTTCTTTTTTCACTCCAACCTGT